CGCCCCAACATCCTCCGCCCCAACATCCTCAGCCTCTGCCCCCGGGGGGCGGAGGACGTGACTGGGGGACTGAGGAGAACCTCAAAGTATTCCTTCCACCGTCCGACAATATCCCCAGTCGAGGTCAGCAGCTCTCCACCCGCACCATACACAGTGTTGGCAAAGAACTGCTTCCCCTTCCTGAGGCGCCGGACGGTTTGCCAGAATCTCTTCGAGGCCGACCAATAGTCATGCTCCATGGACTCTCCGAACTCCTCCCAGTCCCGGGTTTTTGCCTCTGCATCAGCCCGGGCCGCGGCACGCTTGGCCAGCCGACACTGGACAGCTGCCTCAGGAGTCCCCCGAACCATCATGGCTCGATAGGACTCCTTCTTCAGCCTGACGGCATCCCTTACTGCCAGTGTCCACCACCGGGTTCGGGGTTACCGCCGGGACCAGCACCAGAGACCTTACGACCACAGCTACGAGCCGCCGCATCGGCGATAGAGGAAGAGAACATGGTCCACTCAGACTCTATATCCCCCTCCTCTGCCGGGACCTGGGAGAAGCTCTCCCGGAGGTGTGAGTTGAAAGTCCGTCTGACAGGGGGCTCAGCGAGACGTTCCCAGCAGACCTTCACTATACGCTTGGGTCTGCCAGGTCTGACCGGCTTCCTCCCCTGCCAGCGGATCCAACTCACGACCAGGTGGTGATCGGTTGACAGTTCCGCCCCTCTCTTCACCCGAGTGCCTGAGACACGCGGCCGAAGGTCAGATGATACGACAACAAAGTCGATCATCGACCTCCGGCCTAGGGTGTCCTGGTGCCACGTGCACTGGTGGACACCCTTGTGCTCGAACATGGTGTTCGTGATGGACAAACCGTGACTGGCACAGAAGTCCAACAACTGAACACCGCTCGGGTTCAGATCAGGGGGGCCGTTCTTCCCGATCACCCCTCTCCAAGTGTCACTGGCATTTCCCACATGGGCGTTGAAGTCCCCCAGGAGAATAACGGAGTCCCCGGTCGGTGCACCATCCAGTACCCCTCCCAAGGACTCCAAGAAGGCCGGGTACTCTGCACTGCCATTGGGCCCGTACGCCGTCACAACAGTGAGAGACTTGTCCCCCACCCGAAGAGCTTCCAACCCCTCTCAAGGAGTTGGGTTCCAGAGCCCAAGCTGTGTGTGGAGGTGAGGCCGACTATCTCTAGTCGGTATCTCTCAACCTCCCCCACGAGCTCGGGCTCCTTCCCCCCCAGTAAGGTGACGTTCCACGTCCCGAGAGCCAGATGTTGCGCGTGCGGACTGGGTCGCCGAGGTCTCCGCCTTCAACCGCTGCCCTCTCTGCACCGCTTCGCCACCACGGACCCCTCTGCGGGTGGTGGGCCCACAGGAGGGACTGCCCACGTCGTCCATTCGGGCTGAGCCCGGCCACCAGGCGCTCGCATACAAGCCCCGACCCCAGGCCTGGCTCCAGGGTGGGGCCCCGGCTGCGCCATGCCGGGTGACGTCACTGTTCTCATTACGTCACTGTCTTCATTTTGAGGTTTCAACTTTTATTTTTAGTTATTTATTTATCTTTGTTTTTGTTTTTTGTTTTTTTGCTTAGTTATTAGTAAGAGTGGCCTAGCGACATCCTGGTCTAAATATATACAGTAGGTGGCGGTAATGCACTGTAAGTGCGAGTGCCAACCGCCATAAAAAACCACAAGAAGAAGATGCCTTCGTCACGTGACTACACAACTCGGAGCGGAAGGACACAGCGGCCATGATGGAAGGTAAAAAATACGCTTTAATTAGGACATAAAAGTTAATTCTAATATCAGGGTTCGTACAGATTTCCTCTTAAGGTTTTCCATGACTTTTCCATGACCCTTAACCAATTTTCCATGGCCAAAAATTACTCGGTCAATTTCAATTGTTACTTGCATTCATTTGTTGATTTTGTGCCTAAACACATTTTACAGATGTCTTACAAACATTTTATGGAAGACATTTTACAGACGTCTTCCATAAAATAAAATACTTTTAAAGGGAACATATTCTGCAAAAAAACGACAGAATTTTAAAGTACAACACTGTTAGAATAGTTTTTCATTCATGCAGTTTTGAGTTAAGGGTTATTTTGAGTCATAGGAAAATCACAGAACTGTCCACCACATTTTTCCTCTCAAAGTGTGTTAACCAGGGTGCAATTGAGTTGCAAAACAACTTTCAGTTGATAACTTTTTACTAAGTCATTCCTGCTGCTGCCTCTAGAGGGAGCTCTAGGTACACTGGCCAGCTCAGGCCTCTATGTGTCAGATCACTATTTTATCATTAAATAAAAAATACTTAATAAAAGGTTGGGTAACCAAACATTGTTTTTATTTAGCCTAAATTCAGCATGCAAAGTCAACTTTTTATCAAAAATATTAACTGTTGTACCTTCAATACATTCAAGAACAAAAAGTAACCATGCAATTACTTCCAACAATAAAATACACTCAAAATGGTAGCAATGTATGTACTGCTACATTTCTGCATTGCATTACAGACTAACTGAAGTGAAAGTAGTGTCTCAGTACAGGTAAATATTGTAATAAAACAGCTTCAGTGCTTTAACTTAAGTTCAAGTAAAAATAAAGTGTCTCTCACTACCGACTAATCAGGCTTCCCCTGTTCATTCTGAAATATAAAATAGCTGCAGTACTTTAACTGTAGTTCAAGTAAAAAATAAAGTGTCCCAGTACAGACTGAGTAGGCCTATATTGCCATGTTAAGGGTTAAATGTAAATAAAATAAAAAAAGTTCAAGTAACAATAAAGTGTCCCAGTATTGCAGGCCAAGGTTTGCAGTTAATTCTTCAAGACACATAAATAGCCAGCTCCAGTGCATTTAGTTCAAGCAATAATACAAAATAAACATATCAAAAAGCCTAGTTAGTACATTTTAAAGTATCAGTGTGATATAGTGAGTAAGCAGGCCTATATTCTGTAAAGGTCTTAGGCCATTTATAGTTTATAGCTCATTCCTTGTTTTTCATCTCAAGAAGCTTGTCGTCCATTTGCTTATCGAGATCCTGTAGAGAGATTTTCTTTTCCTTAGCCGTGCGGCGCAGACTGTTTGACTTTGTTATGAAGGTTATGTTGCCAGTGTTTTCTGCTTTGTTGGCGTAGTCGTCTGCTGCCTTCTCCAATGCAGAAACATCCTGATGTATTCTGGCTTTCTTCCTTTTTAGTTCATCTGTAAGTGCCTTTCTCTTTTCCACAGACCTTTGCTCAAACAAATAAATCCATCATTGTAAAAGTGACTACAATAGTAATAAAGTGCAGCAGCAGCAGAGGTGGAGGAGCTGCTGGTGATGAGCTGCTTCCTCTCCTCTGGGTGATGTCTGCAGAGTCTGCTTGGTTTGGACCATTTTCTCTGCTCTGAATGGATTTGGATCTGAGTGGATTTACTCTTGATCTGTTTGGTTCAGATCGTGCATTCTCTCTGCTCTGGGAGAAAAATAACAATTGTAAAACAACTGTTTCAGAGCTACTTAGGTCTCGCTGTCATTTCCAGTGCATTCAAAAGTCATTAATGTGACGCATTTGACAAAAAAGATTGTGATGTTTTGGAAACTTTTGAAATAAATAAATATAGAGAATAAGAACCAATAAAACAACTATTTCCAACGATCCATTTTCCTTAGTTTCCTGTGTCTGAACTGTTGCAAATGTAAAACCTGTTGTATATTGTGTGTTTTGCTGCATGGTGTGTTAAAGTGACAGTGAGGTCACCAGTGTGTGTGTGTTCTCAGACTTCTGTGACGTCTCTCTGGATCCAAACACGGCCAATAACACTCTGCAGCTGAGTGAGGACAGAAGGACAGTGACCAGAGTGGAGGCGCTGCAGCTGTACCCCTCTCACCAGGACCGCTTCAGCTCCTGCCCACAGCTGCTGAGCTCCACCGCCCTCACAGGACGCTCTTACTTTGTGGTGGAGTGGAGCGGAGATGTAGCTATAGCACTGAGTCACAGAGGAATCGGACGCAGAGGAGACCTGGACCAGTGTCGCTTTGGGGACAATGATCAGTCCTGGAGTCTGAGGACGGAAGGAGACGGGATGTCTTTTTATCATTGTAAAAGGAAAACACAAGTGTACGAGGACTACTTGACACAAAGAGTAGGTGTTTTCCTGGACTCTGAGGCTGGAGTTCTGTATTTCTCTCAGGTTATAACCAATTCATACTGGCTCCCCCTCCTCTCCGTCAGCGTCTCCGTCTCAGAGCCGCTGTTTGTTGGGTTCAGTCTGGAGCATCCTGGTTCCTCTGTGTCTCTTCTGGACTTTGATGACTTGACGAAACTCTACTCTTAAGGATTTTTTTATATTTGAAACACATCGCTCAGAGCTTAAGTAAGAGTAAAATAGTATATAAATTATTTTTTATGTCGGCTGTTAACAGCAGAATTAAGTTTATCAAAGTCTCATGAACATGAGGGGGTGTAAAACGGCGGTGCTCACACTTTATCCAAACATCTACTTTTCCAGTAACCAGTGAGCGGAGATTCAGCTCAGATTAAATGTGGGAAATGATTCAGAACAACTGAAGCCCTGTATCTTTTTAATGTGATTATTCATGATTTGAATGTCTCTTCTTCAGCACTTTGAGTTGTGTATGAACTGTGCTATACAAATAAAGCTGCCTTGTGTGCATGTGTGCAGTACGAGTTCACTGACTCCAGAAAGTGCTGTCAAAGCTGCGGTGATCTGCGGAGACTGAAACAAAAAAACATTCACTGTTGACGCGTTTAGAGAAAATGGCCGCCCGGGCTTCTACATCCACATATTGAGCTCCTCTTCAAACATAGAGCTGCTACTTTCACATTTCTCTGATTGTGGCTCATTTTTAGAACACAACCCTGCGATAAACGAGTGACCACTGGATCTAAATGAACCACAATATTTGAAAGGACGTTTAGCTTTTTATTTGTCCGCACATTTAAACACTGGCTTCTTCCGGCCTGATTGAGTCCGTGTGGAGGTCTTGAGTCTTCTACTGGTCCAGGTCTAGAATCTGAGGAGGCTTCGCTGGAGGCTCTTCTTCTTGGCTGCTCTCCTGCAACAATCAAAGTTTTATAAATAAATATACAAACAAATAACATCAAGAATCATTTAATGGTTAACAAATTAAATCTATTAAAGCTCAACAAAACACGTTTATAACTTCCAGCTTAATCAAAGGATCCAAGATGGAGACATCTTTGAATAGCACAAGAACGTTACGTACTTTGAGCACGTTTAATTATAAGAATAGAAGACGAAACTACAAGAGAAGAACTTTCCCCGAATACTGCTGTATGTCCTTTGTGTTTGTGGATTATGTCTGTGATGCAGCCTCCTTTACCCTCAGCACCGTCTCAATAAAAACCCAATTGTTTTTGCAGCGATCCGATTCCAAAATGACCAATAATGAGAAGAGACTTTTAAAAAGAGTGGAATAACAAAATGCTGAACAAACGCACAGTGATTCTGCTCGTATATTGTGTAGCGGCCTGAACCTTTTTGCCAAAACAACTCATATTTGACTTGGATTGAGAGTTTTAAAACGGTGGCGGCAGGCCTGCACTGCTGGCCTAAACATGATTACACTTACACACACTATATATATAATAATTTAAAACAATCTTTCTTATTTTTTTTTCTATGTTTATTTTTTCACAGACTACGTTGGTTGCCTAGCTTCCAGCTTCAGGTCGACATTTGGGAGGTCTAGCGTCTAACTAGTTTTTTTTATCCGATCGACACGCATTTTCACACAGTCGCTCCTGCACTTTCGTATTCTCCGCTGTGTTAAAACTGTCATATAAACCCCGGACCGTGGTATATCCTACGGGTACAGCTCTCTTCTGTCCTGACCCTGGCTCTCAGTGTGGTGCTAATGCAACAACACTTCAGACATTCAAGAATCAGTCTTTATTTAACACCAGAAGACACACAAGCACGCACGCTCCGGTCGCCCGTAGCCACTTTTCTGTTTTCAGTCATTCATTCTCAGCGCTTTACGCTCGTGACTATAAAGGCGCGGTCCCGTGTCCGCGTCGCGCCCACACACACAGACACACATGTGTCCCACTGCTGCATTTTGGTGAAAGACCATGGATTATAAAGACATATCTATCTCTCACTTGTTCACGTTGCTCTGATGCAAACAACGCGTTGCATGCTCGAGCCTGCTAGCTGCAGTAGCAGAATGTAAACAGGAAAAAAGCGGACACTCAGCTCGGACAACGTGCTATGGCCCAGAATCTGCCTCTGGGCCTGTAGAGGCAACATTGGCCCACGGTAATCAGTGTCAAGTATACTTCGTCAAAGCCAGCTAGCAGGTCCTGCGCGGCGACAGAGCCTGCACCTCTTTTGATTGGATATACAATACAGAGAGACGTGACAATGCAGACCATGGATCTACGTTCATGTGATAAACAGAAACAAACACAAATGCTGATACGAGTAGCACAACAACTTGATTTAGTTTTTCAACCCTCTACGACTGAAGGAGGTGAATATATATCATTTTGGTAACTAAATAGCTAGAATGCCTTTCTCAAGAAAAACAGAGACCGGTATGGCGCCAGATTCATGACTAAAGTCCACATGCGCAATTAATACAAACACGCGCAGCTTTCACACTCGCAAACTACTCTCCACACGCACAGATTCAGTACCAAGAGCAACAATACGTGTGTGTGAGCGCTCGTGACTTACATTCTCCCTTCATGTGGTCTGTTCTGTGCGCGTTGAAAACTGTTGACATCTCTTCTACGCGCGTGAAAGACTTTTGTCGCTCGTGGCGAGAGAATCTGCGGGTGTGTGGCGTGAAATATGCGCACTAAAAAAGTTGGAGAGCGCTGGGTTAGGACATCACTGCAGGCGCGGGTCTGAAATGCACAGACCGCCACTGGTTTCGAATCCATCCGTTTACATTCACACACATGAACAGAGACACAACAGATCTTTTTAGTGCAATTATGTCCAGACTGAGGTCATCGTTACAACACTGTGCAGAAGTGCAGTGAAGGCGGCTCATTGTTTCAGACTAGTACATTGTACTAGTACTGCCAGATCTGCAGTGGATCAGAAACATATGAGGAGAGTGTGTTGAATAGTTCTTTGAGCACTGACCGGGGCGGGCGGACTCAGGGCCGTGGAGCCGTCGTACAGAGGGTTAGGGATGGACACAAGAGCAGGCCTGACCCTGTTGGACGCTCCATCCTCATCCTCATTCTGAGACAAAACAGATTATGTTCTCAGTCAGTTTTTAAGATTCAGATAGTAGTATAAAGGAAAGTGGAGTAGCGTAGAGTAGTGGTTAGTAAATTAGTGCGCAGTAAAGTAGCGCACGGTAAAGTAGGGTACAGTAACGTACAATAAAGTAGTGTACGTGAAGTAGCATACAGTACAGTGAAGTAGCGAACAGTACAGTGAAGTAAATACCAAACAGAAACATAGGTGATATGATATGAAGTGGAGCCCATACAAACATATGAACCCAACACAGTGGTCCCTCGTTGATTGCGGGGATTACATTAAAAAAATAAGCCTCAAAAAGTGTAACCCGGAAGTATTAGCTGTAGGTTTTATGGCTGAAAAACCTCACACACACTTTTCTAACCACCTAAACTCTGACTGCTGAAGTGTGACCGCATCTAAATTCATTACACAGATCTACACAAATGTTTTGTAGACACTATTATCTATAAACATCAAACTTGTCGAATGGTGGAAGAGGGCGAAGGGGGTTGGAGCGGACGATGTTTGTGCTGCTCACTCTGAAATAGTGGAAGCGGAAAGCGTTGGTCTTGTGTTTGAAGACGTAGTATCCCACTGTTCCCACCACACACGCCACAAACACGGAAACCAAGATGGCCGCCGCGGACGAGCTGGAGTGGTGCGACCGCCGCGACGAGTGAGAGACCTGACAGAAGGACAGATATTTCATACTCACGATCATCACCATAACCAAGTCTTTATTCAGGACAAAATACACAGAAAACATAATTATTATGTAAAAAAAATTTTTTTTGACAACATTGACTTTGTTTTACACAAACTTAAAGGGCACATGTCACGCTTTTTGACTTTTCTCTGATTTAAACTAGTGCTGTCCAACGATTAAAATATTTAATCGCGATTAATCGCATGAATGTCATAGTTAACTCGCGATTAATCGCAAATTAGTCACACATTTGTATCTATTCTTTATGTCCCTTGAATTAATTAAAATAAAATAAAAATAATAAAATAAAATTATTATGTGTGTGTGTGTGTGTGTGTGTTTATGGGTGTGTGTGTGTGTGTGGAGTGTGTGTGTTTATGGGTGTGGGTGTGTGTGTGTATGTGTGGGTATAGACCATAGACTGTATAGAAACATCATGGTGTCATTATGATGATGATAAACAATCTGTAAATATTTTGTAAATTTGTTCATGTAAATACTCTATGCTGTTTCTCTGTTTACTTTCGGTATATCTATGACTGTATACTGTTTGCTTGTATTGCCTTTTTTATTAACCCCTCCCCCCCATCTCCCACTTCATGTCCCCCCCCCCCCCCCCTCCTATGTGCCCTTCTGGGTTTCTTCTTTGGCCCCCTGTATCTCCAACTACATATTGTTTGTAATCTCTGTCTACAATGTATCTGAACTAGTCCTTTTCTTTGTTTCTATTTTTTTTTCTGTATATGTGTTTGTCTGCAATAAAAAGTAAAAAAAAATTTTTTTTTTTTTTTTTTTTTTAATTGCGCAATAGAAAAAATGACGCCGTTACTATTGATTTGCGTTAACGCGTTAATAACGCGATATTTTGGACAGCACTAATTTAAACATGATTACAGTGCTACAGTGCCTCATACACATGCCCAGAATAGTTTTTTCATTGATTCTGTCAATCTTTAGTTAGAGAGATCTGTCTCCTTCAGCCTCGAGAGGCAGTGAAACGCCCGGGTTCTTCTGTGACGATTACCACTCTGATGACGAATATGCCGCGGATAAGCCTGTTTGCTTTGTATTTAAAATGTTTTTTTAAATACTTTTGTCAAAACAGGGGAAACGATACACAATGGGCCTCATTTATGAAACTTGCTTACGGCCAAATCAAGGTGTAAATATGTGACGTATGGTGGACACGGCTCTTCCTACAAGCCCAAAGCCCCCATCTGTGCCGATGACAACAGGCTGGCTAACGACCTGAACCTTTTTTTCAGTCGCTTTGACGCCGCACTGGACACCTCCCCCACCCCCCACTACTCTAACGACCCACCCATCAGCTCTGCCCCCACCCTGAAAATTGCTCCAGAAGACACCAAACAACTCTTCTTGAGGCTGCACCCCCGCAAAGCCCCCGGCCCAGACCATGTCTCTCCTGCCACTCTGAGACACTGCACCAGTGAGCTTACTCCTGTGTTCACTGACATTTTCAACTCCTCTCTGCAGTCCTGCCATGTCCCGGCCTGCTTCAAATCCTCCATCATTGTCCCCGTCCCGAAGAAGCCCAGGATCACAGGACTCAACGACTACAGACCTGTAGCACTTACGTCTGTCGTCATGAAGTCATTTGAACGCCTGGTCCTGTTCCACCTCAAGTCTTTCACCTCCCCCCAGTTCTTCTACAGAGCCAACAGATCTGTAGACGACGCCATTAACCTGGCCCTCCACCACATCCTACAGCACCTGGACTCCCCAGGGTCCTGCTCGTAGACTTCAGCTCTGCTTTCAACACAATCCTGCCATCCCTGCTCCAGGACAAGCTCTCCCAGCTCAACGTGCCCGATTCCACCTGCAGGTGGATCACTGACTTCCTGACAGACAGGAAGCAGCGAGTGCGTCTGGGGAAGAATGTTTCGGACTCTCGGATTATAAATACAGGAGCCCCACAGGGCTGTGTTCTTTCTCCCCTGCTCTTCTCCCTGTACACCAACCACTGCACCTCCAGCCACGACTCCGTGAAGCTCTTCAAGTTCGCGGACGACACCACCCTCATTGGACTCATCTCCAACAACGATGAGTCCGCCTACAGGAGGGAGGTGGACCGGCTGGTGTCCTGGTGCAGTGGTAACAACCTGGAGCTGAACGCCCAGAAGACAGTGGAGATGATTGTGGACTTCAGGAAGAGCACTGTCCCCCCGCCCCACCTTCCATGATGGACTCCCCCATCACCTCTGTGGAGTCCTTCCGTTTCCTGGGCACCACCATCATCCAGGACCTCAAGTGGGAGCCGACCATCAGCTCCCTCATCAAGAAGGCCCAGCAGAGGATGTACTTCCTGCGGCAGCTCAGGAAAGCCAAGCTGCCTGCACAGATGTTGGTGCAGTTCTACACGGCCATCATCACCTCCTCCATCACCTCCTCCATCACCTCCTCCATCACCTCCTCCATCACCTCCTCCATCACCGTGTGGTTCGCTGGAGCCACAGTCAGGGACAAACAGAGACTACAGTGCATTGTGCGCTCTGCAGAGGAAGTGATCGGCCGCAGCCTTCCATCGCTGCAGGACCTGTACGTCGCCCGAGCTCGAGGCCGGGCTGGTCGTATCACAGCCGACCCCTCTCACCCTGCACATGGACTATTCCAACCACTCCCCTCAGGCAGGAGACTGCGGTCCATCAGGACTAGAACCTCCCGCCACAAGAACAGTTTCTTCCCCTCTGCTGTTGGACTCTTGAACACTTCTTAACCTGTCCCCCCGCCCTCTAGAAGTCCCCTTACACATACGTCACTTTACTGCTGTCACCTTATATTGTGTGCACCATGTGCACTTGTATATTGTATATAGTAATTGCAATCGTAATAATTCTATTTTAAATGTATTCCTTAGAAGTGCTTCTTTTTTTAAATTTTTTATTATGCCTACTCTACGCTTTACCTCTCTTTCTGACTGTTGCACTGAGCCAAAGCAATTTCCAAGTCTGTGACTTCCTGTTACTTAAGTGGCAATAAAAATTATTCTGATTCTGAAATTACACTTTTCAGCATTTATCAATCTGGACGTGAGCGTACGGTACGCACAAAATATACAAAAACGAAGAAATGGAAGAAAGTTCTCATCATGATCTGTGATTTATTCGAAATTTGCGTGTTTCCAGAGTGTTAGTTTTTCTGATGTGCAAATTCAAACTTTGAGACATGATGCTCAATGAAAACGCAGCTTATAATTTTGCCAGACTGGGAATATGTTTATTGTTGTCCAAATCTTGCATTTCATGAGTGTTTTGGCGTGTTGTGATGAAGGTTGAAATGAGCGTACACATTTACACCACCTATTGACCTGGCGTATATTTTGTGCGTACCGTACGCTCACGTCCAGATTGATAAAAGCCGAATAGTGTACATTTTTGCATACGCCTCATTTACACGCTGATTTGGCCATACGCAAGTTTCATAAATGAGGCCCAATGTGTTTTGTGTGTAAATATGTGACGCACTATAGAGGAAGCATTTTTTTTCATGTGGATCTGCCTCTGTTTGAATCTGTTCATCTGCAACACTTCACTGAGACTGTTCCAGAACCACAAGGACAATGGAACTGGAGTTACTCAAAAACTGACCTGGAAACCAGTGAATAAAATCTGTAATTTATTATTCTCATTACAAAACTCTTATCTTTTGCATACTTAGGAAAGAGCCAGTCCCTACTTTTCCACTTTTCTGTCTGAAAAGTGGATCTGCACCTGTGGACTTGTCTCTCCCTCTGGACTCATTAACTTATTATGTTTCTAGTCTGCATCCTCTGCAGATTTCTTTTCCTAAATTATCTTCAAATCTGTGCTACTCTGCATCATCTCGCGCGAAAAACAATTTCTTCACAACGAGATTCTACGGTTGGGAACAATCACACGTATGTCTCCTGCTGCGAATCTCTACAGTGATCCATCACTGAGTGTGAGACTCACCGATGGAGGAGGGGCAGTGAGCGGACCCTCGATCACGTGGATGAGGCCGTTGACCGCAGGGATGTCCCAGTCCAGCAGGAGGCGCCGGTTCACCAGTTTCATGTTCTATGTACAAACAAGAAACATTACAAGTATACAGGGATCAAGAGTTCCGAGCTTCCGGCTCGACCGCACGGCATTGTGGGTAGTCTTCTCAAAAAAGTGGGCATGAAATCACGCTCTCCTATTAGATTACCTGTTACGAGCGTCATCTGTCTCTTGTTTCCAGCCCATAGATTGTTTTAATTGCTACAAAAATCACCAATTTCAGACATTTAGAAGATAAGGTAAAGATTTTGTCATGTAACAAAAAAGCAATGCATTTTTTTTCTTGTGGTTTTAAACACAACCGACTGACTATAGAGCTACATGCAGCTTATGCTACTTACGAGGATCGAATGCTTACACAAGAGCTTTATAAACTTACCCAAAGCTGTACTTTGGACATATTTGTCTGGTGTGGAGCTTCTGAATGTAGAGAAGGCCAAATACCTGAGGCACGTCATCAGGAGTGACCTCAGTGAAGACGATGACATTCAGAGGCAGTGCTGTAAGCTGTATGGACAGGCTAACACTTAAGCACGGAGATTTCACATGTGTACAGAGAAAGTGAAAATAACTTTGTTTAAAGCCTACTGCACACCTCTCTATACCGCACACCTCTCTATACTGCACACCTCTCTACTCTCTATACTGCACACCTCTCTATACCGCACACCTCTCTATACTGCACACCTCTCTATACTGCACACCTCTCTATACTGCACACCTCTCTATACCGCACACCTCTCTATACTGCACACCTCTCTACTCTCTATACTGCACACCTCTCTATACTGCACACCTCTCTACTCTCTATACTGCACACCTCTCTATACCGCACACCTCTCTATACTGCACACCTCTCTATACCGCACACCTCTCTACTCTCTATACCGCACACCTCTCTATACTGCACACCTCTCTATACTGCACACCTCTCTATACTGCACACCTCTCTATACCGCACACCTCTCTATACTGCACACCTCTCTACTCTCTATACCGCACACCTCTCTACTCTCTATACTGCACACCTCTCTTACTGCACACCTCTCTTACTGCACACCTCTCTATACTGCACACCTCTATACTACCCGCTCACTGTTTGTTCTTAATAATGTCCCCACTCTGAATGCTCTGATCAGAAATGTTATTTATAAGTTGATGAAACGCTCTGAGGGCTCTATGTCCAAAGTACAGCTTTGGGTAAGTTTATAAAGCTCTCGTGTAAGCATTCAATCCTCGTAAGTAGAATAAGCTGCGTGTAGCTCTATCGTCAGTCGGTTGTGTTTACATCTAAAACAACAAGAACAAAAAATGCATTGCTTTTTTGTTACATGAAAAAATCTTTACCTTATCTTCTAAATGACTGAAATAGTTTTAATCGCTACAAAAATCACCAATCAGAGACAGATCACGCTCGTAACAGGTAATCTAATAGGAGAGCGTGATTTCATGCCCACTTTTTTGAAAAAACTTCCCACAATGCCGTGCGGTCGAGCCGGAAGCTCGGAACTCTTGAGCTCCCTGTATTACAAGATGGTCCCGACCTGCTTTATGATATAAATGCTAGCTATTTAGCATTTAGCCTAGCTTTAGCCATCTCCTTTGCCACTAACAGAGCCCGTGGAGAGTAGAGTCACAACATCTTTGCAGCAATGACATTTGCTAAATGTTCCTCTTGCTCTGGCTTCAGTTTCTTGATATTTGGAGCCAAACCAGAACGGATTATTTTGCCATTCTACAACCTGCAAATTCAGCGCAAACTCTTGACGTTACTGACACCTCCCTACAACACCTCCCTCCCCCGCTCGCTGGGGAAGGGAGGGAATGAACTTGAACATTCACTGACATTTCATGTTACAGAATTTGTGACCTGCCTGATGGTCAAAAATGGAGCTATCGCCGCCGTTGGGTATTTTATTGTCCAAAAGCAATTAAAAATATGTTCGAACATGCTAATAAACGCAAGTAAGTAGTCATTTATTTAGCGTCTCTCACAAACTGGGAGTCACAAAACACTTTGCAATTGTTGTGGGAATTTCCCTCTCACTCAACACTGGTGTAACGAAAAAGTTAATAATAGTTTATGTATGTATATAAATAAATAAATATATAAACATTTGAAATTCAAAATCGACTGCAGAAATGTCAAGCTAAAGATAATAAACATGTTTGAAAAGACAGAAAAGATCAGAAAGAAACAGTACAAAGGGGACAGGGCGATAAAAATACCATGGATTTTGGGCGTGGTCATACCTGGTCGTTGCCGTGGGTGACCGTGAGATTAAACCCGATCTTGGACACAATTATGTCATGATGTTTCAGCTCTGAAAAGGATCGTCTGCTGTGATTGATCGAGATGTGGTACTCCAGGTCTCTCCCGGTCAAAGTCTGCAGCAAAAACTGTTTTATTCATATTTTTAAATCAAGAACAAGCAACATGAAAAAGGCGTTAATATTGAACTATAACTCAAATGGTAAGAATCACAATGGAGTTTTGGTGATTTTCAACTTAAGTTTGATACGAGTCACCAACTTTCTGTTTCGATGGTGTAGGACTGAGGTTTGATTATTATTTCTAAGATTGTTAAATACTTTCCATTATAATTATTAGTTTGGATTTAATAGAATATCTGCCTGACATTGCATTGAATATTGTCCCCCTGAAGCGATGTGTTTCTCCTGCTGTGTCTGTGTCTTCTCTCCACTCTTATCTCACATTCCTCGGGCCAAGGCCATAATAACAAGGTCCCCATCTACAACAATCTCACACTTCAGTCTCCAGCTCGGATCCCGTCTCCCCCGCCTCCCTCTCTATCCATCTTGCTCCCTCCCTCCCCTCCACTCCTCACTGTGTTTCCGACTCACCCCCCTCCCTGACCCCGCCCCCCTCTGACAGCCACATTGGGCCGGCTGTAGGAGGTGCTTCATCCCGAGAAAAAATCCGTGCTTTATACAAGGCACAATGTGTCTATCCAACTGTCTGTGATACTGTATGTTATTGCTCTCTGCTGTTTATTCTACTGTTTGTCGCATGGCGCCGTAAAGATGGCGCCGTGGCAAGAGCTCTGGTGTGTGTCGTCTCCTCTGTCTGGTGCACACCGGGGTAGTCTTGCACAGTTTTTCCAATGTGGTTTTACTGCAAATGGCAAATAAATGAATCTGAATCTGAATCAGAATCAGACAGATAGCCGGGCTCTGCCAGACCCTTGTAGTTCCGCCATGCTCCACCAGAGGCGTTTGGCTGAACCCACATGGGTCTGGTATCGACGCCATAGCGAACGCCTTCCCCAGATTATTTTTTAATCGACCAATCAGGATTGCCGGTGTTACGTGGGGTTTGCACTGCCTTCTCAAGCTTCTCTCATGGGTCGGACTAGATGATATACGGAATCGGGACAAAACCGGAAGTAACAATCCTACTTTCGAATCAGTTTTAGACTAAAAAGTCCTTAAATGGTGACTGGTTAAGTTTTAGGTGTCTGGGTAAGATGGTTAAGGTTAGGGTTAAGGCTGGGTTGGGGTTATTTTATGGGAATGGCTGGTTAAGTTTAGGCATGAATAGGTAGTTTGTTATATTTACTTCCGCTTCCGTCCCGATTCCTGATCTAGTGCTGACCTTCTCTCATGCAGCAGCGAGAGGGATCCAAGATGGCGGACGTAAAGTCCGCGAATCTTTTTAAAAGAGTAAATACGATCGAATTAAGACACGGAGGTCACTTTTAATGCAATTTGAGGCGAGATGTTGATGGTTCTATGTTGATATATGTGTGTTTTAAGCGTCAAATGTTCATGTTAAGTTTGGTTGAAGCACTGGTTCAGTGTTCCTGTTTACACACTATGCAGCAGGGTTGCCAGATTTGGTGGTTCCCGCATATTTTTTTCCAAGAGACTTGTAGGTATTAAATAAACTGAAAGACAATAAACACAATCATGATAGCCCAAGTTGATTATATTACGTTTTTATCCAAAAAATCATTCTGAGTGTTTTTTTTTTGTTGGGTATTCTCGCAAATTTTGGGTTGGAAAATCTTGCCGGGATTCGGCAACCTATGGGAGCCGTGTGCTTCGATGTGAGTGGTTGAAAGCAGACTTCATTCAAGATAACGGACAAGTGGTCTATCCAATCACATACAAGGATTTTTTTTACAAGGCCCTGCCTTCTGAAATCCAACCACTATGGCTCAGTACCAGACTCATGTGTGAAGTGCAGCGAACTACATGGGTCTGGCCAGAGTCAGGCTATCAGACAGACGCACACACAATTAGTGCACCTCTAGTTTTATGTCTATCACTTTACTTCCTGGTTGTGAATGATGCAACTGTGAAATAAACTGGGTCTTCTCCAATGTAACAAAATTATTATTTACAAATGTATTTACAACAATACACTTTGTTTTAGGAGAGTCAATCAGTAAGTATCCTAGTGTGTTTGTTTTGAAAATGATGCAAAATGTTATATAGGTAATTGCTATTGCTAATTTTGAGTAATTGTAATGAGAATCAACACCAATGTAATATAATCATGTGTCTGTGGATTATGTCTGTCTTTATAGTAGAAAATCAAGCTGTTTCTTTTACCTTGTTGAAAGTGAATCCATCGTTGTGTGGAACAAACAAAGTGACGTCCGTGTTTCGCTGAGACAAGAACTCCACCAGGTTTTTACCGTTTTGTGATGAGCTGCTGTAGTCCAACAAGAACTACACCGAACAAGCACAAGGCAGAGGGAGGACTAGATTAAGTATGCATTGGAAACCACAGTGGCCATTAGAGGAGGGGGAGGCATACTCTGTAGAAGATGGAGAAGTTGGAGTTTGTGGCCAAAACGTCAGCCAGAACACCGTTACAGAAGTCTCCGTTGCCAACGAAGTCGCCAGGACACGAACAGGACACGTCTACGAACAAGACGGATGATGTGAAAGGGAAGAAACGGATAATAAAAGCATTGCAGTATCATCAACAAAACAAAAAATATTGCTACAAAATACATTATGCGATCCATCGATTATATTGTAAAGTTGATATAAAGTCACTAGTCCAGTCAAAAATAGAGTGTTGTTATCGAGTTAATTCCAATCAATTTTAACTACGTTGTTTATTATACGGCACAATTTACGCTGCACCTTTTGTGAAATTGTGTGTTTTTCCTATGCAGTATTAAAGCTGCACTAACCCACTTTGTGACTTTAAAGCAGCAGTTTGAAAAGGGCTCCTCTCCTTCTTTCTGCTCCCATCCCCAAAGTCACGAAGCTATTTCCCCCCACCACCCCCTTCCCTTTCAGCCTGTGCTGTTGTTTACGGCGCTAGCGTCTCACAATATGGATCGCACATTTGAACGTGGATGGCGTGACCATAGAATGATAGAACCGGGAAGCACACTCACACACACACACATCAGAGAGAGGCACCACAAGTGCACAGACAAAGCAGACGGTGACCACGTTTCCAACAAGGGAATCTGAAAACACTTGTGCTCAAGTAGATGATGTGAGCACAAGTCCAGTGCAAAAAAAAACCTTTCCGTCGATGATGGGATTAAGATTTAAAGATACTTTACTCGTCCCACTGTGGGGAATCGTCAGTGTTGCAGCGCCTATCTTGAGGAGCACACAGCACAAGATAAATTGAGAATAACTCTATACTAAAAATGAAATCTCTAACTTTAGCACACAAAATAAGCAAGCATAAAATCTCTAGCTTTAGGAAACTTGAGCATATCGAAGATGGAAGAATTAAATACAAAAGCAGCAGAGCAGACTCCACCCATTTCCTCAAGGGATTTCAGACTTAACCTGAAGATTTGAGGAAATGTGTGGAGTCTGTTCTGCTCCAGCTTGGTCTGATATAAAACCTGCAGCGACACTAGTCCTTAGGAACAGGTTTGGACACCACTGGCCTAACAGCAAGAACTGAAAAGACTTGCATTTACCTGTTAATCTGTAGCAGTAGGCGTCGTAGCGGCTGCTCTGGTCCACTGGGTCTCCGTACAGCACCACTCCCACATGGTTGTTCCCACATTCGGCTGAAGGGAAGCGGATTGGATAGCCCACTTTTGCCCCCTCAATCCACCCGGCAGCACACAGATGCATGCCCAGCTGAAAACAACGACAGATCGTGTACAGGGCTATGTGAGTAGCTAACACTGCTCATCACCCACCCGCTCAACTCCACTCTGAAAGGCCCTGTTCCGACCGGGATTCGAACCCAGGACCTTCTTGCCGAGAAGCCACCGTGCCGCCCACTTTTCACTAACCATTTGTAAAACAGTAGACGTCTAACCTGCTGAGCGTCTCCCATCTGTTTGAAGCTGGCCAGAGCGCCTCCCTCGTCCTCACAGGCTTTTTTAGCTTGACTGAAGTTCATCTGGTACTTCCCTTGAGGAGACCGGAGGAGGAACACCCCTCCAGTTTTTGCTGCACACAGCATCAATGGAACATGTCAGAAATAATGACTTGGGTGTTTGTTGAACCAGGGACTCACTGTGGTAGTGCAGGTCTTTGCACTGAGCCACCGGGTCACAGTCACCGTTGTTCTCAAGGCACCGATCGACTGGAGGCTCAACCTCCTCCAAACACTGGACTCCATTACCCACGTACCCCGGCAGGCAATCGCAATTACGTTCATTCTGGGGAGAAGACGTCATTCATAGATTCATGGGCTGTTGGTTTTATCCACGGTAATCTGCTCTTGAATTAACTACAATATGCAAACTGGACACTTTTATAACCAACCCATTCAGAAAACATACTGTATATATGCTTCTTTATGTGTGATTTTTCTTTTTTTTTCACAAGTTTTATTTAACACATTACTGAAAGCGGAGAAAACAAACAAACAAAAAATATAGAAAGGATTTAACGGACATAGAACTAATTTGGTTTTCAGCATTCATTTTGAAAATAATCACAAATTCTCACATACTTTTTTTTATATGTCAAGCACAAATAAAGTCATAATTTTTCTTGATTCGTTAATTCTGTTTTGATTTTACTAACCGGTCCTGTGAAGCTGCATGAGGCAAAGTCACTGCAGCCTCCATTTGGCTCTTCAGTGCATCTGAAACACAAGATCGAGGTCAATCTCCTTCTAAAATGAACCAACTCCAGCTCAATGTAGATTAGCTGTAGTTTTTACTCCCATCTAGCATTAAGATAATTGTAGGGGATTCTTGTAACCTGCTGCTCTCCCAAGACCCCCACCCCCACAGACGCAACACCAACGGACACCTCGACTGTAAATTGGATTAAAAGGCAAAGAAGCCTCCTGGCACTGTCAGATGGTTTGAAGATAAAAGTTTGTCACCCACCGAGACGAACACTTATCAAAGAGACAAGTCAGGCCCATGGACCAGTGGGTGCCATCACAGCGCCTCCGTTTAAACTGGATTAAAAGACAATGGACAGTCTGCCTTCTCCGGCCAGACTGGGACCAATGTGTAATAACCCGCAGGTGAGAACTATCATCAAAGGACCCTACGCATTGTCAAGGAATACCATATGTCGTCTTTGACAGTGGTCCCCAGCTCCAGGTCCTTTTTGTCCCTTATCAACCACTGTATTTCAAGATAGCGCATTGACATGTAGAGTCCTCTAGCCTCATGGACATTTATAAGTCATGACAACAATTCAAAAACAATAATAGAGGTAAATATTCCGTCTGTTATTGGTAAACATGGTTTTTATTTGTAACAACTGCAAAAATTACACAGAGTACCTTTAAATCTCCACATCTTCAGTGGGACATGGGAAAAATTATAGAATTTTTATGGGAACTCAGAACCGTGTCAGTTCAGCGCTCTTTTTCTTTTGTACTTACAAATGAGCACAATATGTGTAGCAATGGTTTTTATCTGAAATAGCAAAGTCTGTGGAAGTGTAAACGATTCCCCCTTTTTGCTTTTCACCTGTTGATTGGCTGGCATGAAAAGCCGTCGCCTTGGTAACCACTGTGACAAGTGCAGTTGACGAGGAGTCCGGTCTGATTGCAGTCAGCGTGAACGTGACATCCTCCGTTGTACTCAGCACAAAGGTCAGGAGCTGGGGCAGGAGAACTGGGTTAGACCACAGACCGTAGATGGACGCTGCTGACCTACTCGCTTGATGATGTATCAAAGGGAAGTGCTCATGGCGAAGTTTTGCTCCTTCTCCATTCATTTAGATTTCAAAGTTAATGCCACTAACACTGAAAAGGTTTGTGTCACACTCACTATTCTGGGCTGAAAAATGTGAGATATGACGCTCTAGAGCAGGTGTTAGGTCGGGGGCCAAGTTTAAAAACAGAAGAGCAGGTTGGGCCAAACGTATAAAAGACATGAGTTTGGATATTATTTTCTTGTAGGTTTGGATTCAATTTCAAACTTAACTCCTAATTACATGCTAGTTAACATTTTAGAACAATTCAATTATATAAAATAAGATATATGGTTGTTTTCCTGAGAATATAAGCTTTAAAATGAATAATTGAAAATCATTTCAGGGGCCACCTGCTCCACACGATCCTGGTTTATTTGGCCTAAGACAACAAGACATAGGGCCTGTTGGTTCCACAATTAGTCATTCTTCATCAATAAGCTACGATCCTTTCTGCAATTTATGGCTTTTACTTGTGCAGCCTTTATGAATATCTTTTTGTCTTTGTTCAACAGGTTTACTTGTTTATTGCTTGAAAATCATTCATTAGCTTCCATGCTTTGTGTTTGATGAGTTATTGGACTGATTGTGATGAAATGCTGATCCTTGATCCGTACATTAAATAAAATCAAATGATGTTAATAAAACATCAATTGCTAACTGATGCAGTAACCGGACTTACGTGGTAGAGGCTCACAGAAGGTCCCATTGCCCTGAAACGCTGGTTTGCAGCTGCAGCCGGAGCCTGGCTCACACTGGGCGTCTTTGTGACACTGCCTGCACTCCTCAGGGATCGAACCTGGCACCGCCACAAACAAAAACTATTAAGACTAGAATCAGGAGCGTGAAGATTTGACCTAATAATAGGCTAGATTTAGCAAAACCTAAACCAGGACCAAAGAAACAAGCAATAATCAGGCAAAGGATGGACAAAGTTTTATAAAAGGTATTTTCCACATGTAACGTTTGTTAAACATGAATGTGTTTGTGTCAGACTCACCGAGGTCAGTTTGACAGCGGTCCCCAGTCCAGCCGCTGTCACAGACGCAAACTCCAGAGCCCTCTTTTCCGTCCACACAGACGCCTTTCTCTGTGCAGTTACAGGCTGAAAAACACGCAACACTACTTTTCACGTAGAACAAGACAGAAGGAAATACAACACACGACTTGAGTTTATTTCATAACTTCTTTACCCATCTTTATCCTAACTGTTGTGTCATCAGGTGGTCCAGCAACACCATGTGCCGAAGATCATTGGACTAGTAAGTAAGGGTGCCATACAGGAGATGTCAGACCTATTGTACATATTTTTAGTGGCACCCGGAGGAAACCTACAGAAAGGTGGAATCGAACCCAGGGCCTTCTTGCGGTGAGGCACAAGTGCTAACCACTGCAGGATTCTTCTTCCTTGATGGCAAAAGCTCGATACCAGGATTTTCGAGTCTGATTCAGAAGGATGACCAGTAATTTTCTTTACCAGAGTTCAGATCTTATCTCTGGCAAAGACAATCTCTGATTAGTAATAAATAAGCGAAAAGATACCTATTGTGTCCATGATAGAGTCGCTTGAGATACACTTCAGATTGATGAGGAATATGTGGAAGATGTATTGTATCTGACACCAGAGGTGGGACAAAGTCATTGTTTAGCAAGTCACAAGTCAGTCTCAATTCATTGCCCTCAAGTCCCGACTCAAGTCACGAGTCAAGACAGGCAAGTCCCGAGTCGAGTCCAAGTCAAAGGCCAACAAATCTCAAGTCAGTCCCAAGTCCTACGGTTTGACTTTCGAGTCCTCTCGAGTCTTTTTGACCGCGATTTGTTTCTTGTTGGTCTCCACGTACTTTTGTAGGCAGACAAAATAATGTTAGGAATCATTTTGCTGGTGCATTCTCGTTGGTCTCTGACCCATGGACTAACAGTTTGTTCCATGTCGTTGGCTGCTGGTAAATCAAAACTATGTTGTGCCAGATGCAGGCTCAGTTACACATGCACAGACCACACATAAAATCAGAGCAGTCCGTGTCAACATACTTTTTATCTTTGGGGTTTTTAATGGGAAGTAGCAAGTGCAGCATATATGAATATGAGTATTGGGCTAGGACCTGTATCTATGTAATCAGTTTAATGTCCATAGTGGTTATTGTTCCAAAGGACTGAAGGGACCAATGGAGGGGAAGGAACCTGGCCTGTATGAACTGGGCCAGCATTAGTAATATCTCATAATTACCAATATATCATTACATAATAAAATGTCTCATATAAATTAATTCAATCAGTCAAAGTACTGATTCTCATATCAATGAACCATAAACAATAGTGCAAATATTAATCTAGCTTAGTGCACATAATCAAAACAACTATCTAATGTATGCAAACTTTAGCAGGAGGAGCACAGCAAAAATATACTCATAATAATAGGCCTCGGCGCCCACACAGAAAAATATAAGAAAGAGCCAACAGAGCAGCGCAGGCTAGCGCTAGTTTGACTCACCAGTTCCTCTTTAAAACACGGCACACAGTGTGACAACTGCGTCGATTCAATTGTATGAGGCGCCTGTAGTGAAAGCATATCAATTACGGTTTGTAGAACAAAATATGACGTTAGGTCGCGATAAATACCTGCAGCTCGCTCATTTCCAGCTCCCCTACGACAAAACACACCCACCGGTGAATGCAGTCCGCTTGTTTAGGGAAGTGTTGCTGCGCGAACTGCGGGGAACTCACGTTCGAACTCTCGCGCGAGCGCTACAACTACCGCGAGGCTTTGTTTCTTCAGAGACGGCATAGATAGAAAGAGAGATGCGGAGAAGGGTAAAAAGGGCCCGGGTTACGCAAGTCTTTGCAAGTCAATTGGCGCAAGTCCAAGTGAAAGTCAGAGTCATTGATGTTAAAGTCCAAGTCGAGTTGCAAGTCTTTTTATATTTGGTCAAGTCGAGTCTAAAGTCATCAAAATCATGACTCGAGTCTGACTCGAGTCCAAGTCACATGACTCGAGTCCACACCTCTGTCTGACACTATGGGTGCAGTCCCTAATTCATACATGTTTGACAGGAGAAGGGTCATGTGGACAGTGACGTGAGGAAGCAGAAGTGTAGCAGGGGCTTTGTGTGGGGCCCCTCCCCCACATCTGGCCCTGCGCCTGGCCTCAGACTCACAGGGCTGCGCACTAGAGCTGCAACTAACGATTATTTTAATAATCGATTCATCTGTCGATTATTTCTTCGATTAATCGATTAATCGGATAAAAAAAGCATTTGTAGTTTCCATCCCGTTATTAAAAAACATGGCCTTGGATCAACCCAAAGAAACAAACAAATGTATGCTCTGCAGTATAAAGTAAAGTGCACAAAAACAGGTTTTGTTGTTTAACCCAAAGAGCAATTACAGAGTGCATATACTCAAAAACTTTTGAAATGTGTGTAACTTAAAAGTGATAGGAGATAAAGACTTTCTGTAAATTACAGAATTATTAAGGATGGCCAAAAGTTTTATGTAGGGAATTAGTGTACCCATCTAATTAGCATATTATGACGTCATATGGCGTTGGAAATTGTGGATTTTAGAATTTTCATCATTTTCTCCCCTGCTCTCTCTCTCGTCCCCCCCGCGCTCTCTCTCGTCTCCCCCGCTCTCTCTCTCTCTTCCCCGCTCTCTCTCTCCTCTCCCATGCCCTCTCTCTCCTCTCCCCTGCCTTCTCTCTCCTCTCCCCTGCCCTCTCTCTCCTCTCCCCTGCCCTCTCTCTCGTCTAACACCAGACAAAGGCTTTTCCAACATGTTACTGTCCTGGTGATGGCGGGAGGCATGATAATACATCTGTGGGAGGCACTATTTGACACTAGCAGAGGCTGGAGTCGCGGCGCGGCGCCCGGACGTGACTTCCAGGCTTGTTCTCCGCAAATCTAACCTGTCTCCGAACCTCCCAATGACAGCCCTGACCCTGAGAAACACTGTTCCCACTGACTCTGTGCAAAGTGTCTAAAGTTAGTGCGGTACAACACTCGCACGCTTCCTTCGCTTCACTATTCTGCACTGGTTCAACGCCGTCTTGCTTGAATAATTGCCTCCATCATAGACTGTATTAAAAATGACCACCTTCGCCACACTCTGCTCTTCTTCTGTGGAGTTTTACGGCAGTGTGCATGCAGTGTTGTGTAGTTCTGTGGTGCATGTGCGTCTGTCCGCTCAACCATAGAACTACAAGAATGCGCCCAACTCGAGCGCTCGGTGACGTATTAATCGCGTAACACAACGAATCGATAACCAAATTCGTTGCCAACGCTTTTAATAATCAATTTTTATCAATATTATCGATTTGTTGTTGCTTCTGCAACCTCAGTATAATATCATCCTATTCTCTCATGCACCCAAACCGCAAAGGCAGGTTCAGTAGCTTGCTTTTATGAAAGTATGACAAAAGCTAAACCTTGTGCTTGTCTTAGTGTATTAGAGCGGGTCAAGCTGACAATGAGTCTTTGTGAATCTCATCTTGTCCATGTCTTCTGACACACATTGACTACTATACAATGTGACGTTGATAGTGTGTCGCTGCCTCTGGTCTGTTCTTTAATCAGTGCATTCATTTGACATTGTCCAGAGTTGAAAGAACTCAATAATCACTTCCTCCGTATCACTGCTGCGAGCCGGGGCCTACCTGTGCAGTTGGCTCCAAAGTGATCGGCGGCGCACAGTTCGCAAGAGTCTCCTCTGAAGTTCCGCTCACAGTTACACTTCCCCGAGCCTTTCAACCCATCATCACAGTTACCATGGAAACCGCAGGGTGACTCAACTCCACCCGGACAAGCTGTTATCACACAGAGACAACCAATCAGACCAATCAGAAATAAGGTGCACTCATACGGCCATTGAACGTATATATAGGCTGAACCAGAAAGACATACATTGTTTTTTACAACGTTGCAACATGGTTAAAAAACACTATTCAGAGTTCCTGGTACCTGAGCACTCCTGTCCATAGTGATTCTTGCAGCACTTCTGGGTCCATGACGGGTAGTGACACACTCGTTTACAACCTTTGCGTCCAAACGGAGACAAGTCCAAGTCCAGCGTGTACCTGTACCTGTAGCGGGACGACGGGACGATGCAAGACTCCACCTTTCCCTGTGAGACGAACATAGTATGGTATGAGCATAGTGTTAGGCTGCAGAACATGGACCAAGACCATACAGACAGAGTCCTCGATCTATAGCTGTCCATCTGTGGGAGCGAATCCCTCCCTCAATGCGGGCCAATGAGGTTTATCACTTTTTTCCACTGGTTTTTCTATTAGTTATTCCTTGCAGATGCAGGAGGGTCCAGGACATTTGACATTCAACAGCATTTATGAACATTAGTCATCTGCTCTATGTGTTTTTTTTAATCGTTGCATTTCTTGTGTTTGATTCTCTGATCCTCTGAGATAAGTACTGTGGAGATTTAGGGCTATACAAGAACACATTTAATTGAATGATTCTAATGAAGGTAAGAATGAGACAGTGGGGTTTTTAAACTCACAGCCTGAATATAAAACAACCCATCAGCAGATACATTATGAGAATGGTTTGAATTGAAAAATATCCTGTAAGACGATGAATGCTTCACGGCGTCACAATTATATGTTTTCCGTTTTGACACAAATTTGTACAAGCTTTGATTCAATTTCACCACACTCAAGGAAATGAACAGAATCTAAATCATGGATGTGGTGGTTAGAATTCCCCTTCCCCTGCCTTTCCTCCAGCGTCTCTCCTTGTGCACCTGGCTCTGATTGCAGGGTTTTGGGTACTCTGCAACTCCCCTGAGGGGATGCTTTTCAGCCTCCCACGGGTCTACAGGAGCCGTGCCTGTGGTGGCAGCAGTTTCTCGCTTCTGCTCTTTGTCTGTTGGTGAGTCCCGAATTAGCTTTTACGCCTATTCAAGGGGTGTTCATAATGCAGTCAGAATATGGGCTTGACACGCTGACATGAATATTGTGACTTGTCATGTGTGCTCTGGAGTTGGGGTCCAGATTCTGTGCCGTTTGCGTGTCGCCTGGTTCTGAATCTAAAGAAGTTCTAAAGAACCCCTCTGTATGAGTCTTGCTCTTGCCCGCGGATTTCAGCAACATAACTGACCACATGTTGGTTTGCACTCCAGGGGAATTTCCTCAATCTGACAAGGCTTTATTGGCCTATATACCTGAAAATATTATTTATAGGCATACATGCTCACAAGATTATCACTAATTGAGCATTATTGATACGAGCAGCATGAGAAAGTAAATATCCCTGGGTAAAGGTTAAGGATCTCTGACCGTGTCTGTGTGTCTCAGGCGGCAGGAAGGAGGATTCAGGCAGCGTCCACACCGGCCCTGAAAACATAAACCATTGAAGGCAGGTCAACAAATATAAACAAATGAAATCACTGAAAAGTCCTTAAAATTAACACACATTAACACACAGCAGAAACCAGGGGAGAAAGCCAAAATAATTAGGCTTTCAATGGGTTAGCTGACAGGTTCAACTGCTATCAGTTAAAAGAACATGGTTTATTAATGCCTTTTCACAGATTAGGGCAATTTAATTAAGACAAATTATCTAAGATTGTCTTTTTACAGTGTAAGTGCAAAACACTCCACCCACATGTCCCTCTATGACGTGTGAATGAATGATTGTTGGTGGTTGGAGGGACTGATTGGCAGCCTTGCTTCCACTAGGCTGCCCCTGGGCATCTGTGGCAAGTGTCATAGCTTCCAAACACCATGTGTGGAGTAGTAATGCATTATCAAACACTAAACAGGACTGAACTACACTGCTGCAATTAGAAAAGCAGTTAACTGAGACGACTGGCGAACAGAGGCACCCCTGTACAGGACGGCACATTAAAACAATGAATTATCAATACAAATTAATTCATTGGAAAAAAAAACCAGGTGTGTCCAATGCTCACATATGTGGTCTTGTTGGTAATGTCATCACAGTGAGCGCCCAGGCCTGGAGGTTCCAGGATCTGGTCGATACCGTAGGCCATGCCATCAGTGAACATCAAGTACCGCTCAATGACCCGGGCTGCATTTCCGTTCAGCAAAATGTTCCCCTGGAAAACAAATCACTGTCCATGAGGGCTGCCCACTATTCCAGCTCTCTATTAAAACAAGAAATCACAATTGGGAAATATAAACGCCATTTTTATTGATTTCTTCTAGCTGTTCAGATGAATCGTAAATCCACTGGAAGAATACTATTTTTTTAAATGTTAATTAAACATGCAGTAAGCGATTTTGTTAGCTTAGCCGTAGCACCAACTGGAAACCACTCCCCTCTCCCCTCCCTCTCCACCAAACATCCAGCATTTTCTTTTCTTTGTCACACACATGGAGAGTGAGCGGCAAATGTGAAATTGGGATTTTCTGTTCAGCCATTTAAGGTTTTAGAAAATTCAATAACTCAGGTGCACTCGCGAGAGGAAGAGGGTGAAGGGGGTAAACACATCCCATTGGTTCGTTGGGGGTGAACAAATCCCATTGGTTTATTTTTATCGGTCGCACCCACAAAATATTTTTTATTAATTTCTGGAGACTATGGCATCTGATCAATTCCATTACCATTACTTTGAAAAACACATGATAAATTGACTACTTTTAGGGTTTAGGGACATTTTCCCACAATATTTAAAAAAATGTGTCTGGAAAAAAAAATCCCTGACTGCATCTTTAAGTATTCAGTGGAGAAAATGGTCCGAATCAAGCAGGAACTCTGCAGACATCGACCTGAGGATAGAAACCTGGAAGAGAGGAAGATGTGGCTACTCCATCTCTGCTTCTGTTGCACTTTTTTACTGATGTTTGTAACTTTTAGAATGACGTATTTATTTGTTTGTGTGATGATGGATGCGTTTCTGCTGCTGGATGAATCAATAAAATGAATTTATCTAAATGTCTGTATGTGCCGAGCAGTCATTCACAAGTAAAGAATTCTTGTTTACAATTAAGGCTAAGTCTAAGAAAACAGTTCTTTTATATTTGTATGGGGACTTAAATCAAAACAAAAGAGCTAGTATGGCAAAGACTACAGTATATGTTGGTATTATCCATCTTTTTAGTGGTCGGGGAAACCGGAGCACCCACAGGAAACCTTCACAGGTACTGGGATAAGATTGCAGAAGGGTCCTGAGGTGGACTTGACTCCCAGGACCTTCTCGCTGTGAAGCACTAGCGCCCACCATGCCAGAATACCCCTGCAGTTTGAAAGCAACCAAAATAAGTCTGGATCTACAAACCCTAAAACATAAACTAGTTTTCTTACACATCACAGCCAACAACCATAAACAGCTGAGCTTTTTCCGCAGCCCCAAAAATGAAACCCATGACTTATGTGGACAAAGTTTGATATATCCGCTGGATGTGACCCAGTGCACCGACAAATTTTTTTTGGTTTACACCTTTTTACAGAACTGACACTGCCCTCATAGTGGTGGTCTGTGCTCTACCGGGACATCAGAGACCATTTGCGGGTGACAAACTTCATGTGGATTTTTGACAAACAAGATTAATACCGTATTTTAATTACGTATTCTCCCTTCTATCTTGGAAAAAACTGAAACTCTGCCACTGACGGAAAAACCAAACATACAATTCTCTTTACCACGAGGGCTCTTGTCACCAGGTCTAGTTGATGAATGATCTCATGCATGGATCGATTTCGACGACTGTATTTGTCAGGATTTCCTGATCCCCCATCCACCTACAAACACAACAATGTAGTCGTTCTTCAATATGACTTCAATATTGATGACAAACTATGTTTAGTTTTTCTAATAGTTATTGGTCGGTGGTGCAGCAGAGTTGCAGTTTTTCCTCTGATGAGTTGATTTCAACATGCAAGATTGTGTGCGACCCCCTCTTCCGGGAAAGAGACAGTGCATGTTCCAATTAATGAGCGAAACATGGGGGTCGATGGTTTCAGTTCTGGACAGTCCTGATCTAAGTCTCTGGACCGGACTTCTGGAACCTGCTCCCTCCTGATCTACGAGAGTCAACTGGTTTGGGCTTTTTAAATCGAGGCTAAAAACTTATTTTTACAGACAGGCTTTGAACACTTTTAACACACATTCCACAATGGACACTTTTGACCATTGTTTTACAGTTTGGCCAAAACTTGTCAGCGGGGAGCCAGCTCCGTCAGACCTCTGAGCTGTGCTAGCGGCATGGTAGTTCTGTGATGGCGCTAAGGGACACCAGGTGCCCCACCCAGTGGAGCCGGCTGCGGCTGTAAGTGCCAACCTGTTATTGTGTCCTTAGGCCAGACACTTCATACCAATCATAGACTCCGTCTGGTTGTGTGTGTGAATGGTTTGAGTGGTGCTCGATCGGGTCGATGGCAAGACTGTTTGCCTCGGCTTCTGTCAGTGAGCCCCCGGGCAGCTGTGGACCCCGTCGTGTTATCATCCCCCCAAAGTGTTCGCGTTTCAGCCCCCCGGCAGTCACGTTAACACAAACAACGGTGATAATCTACACCAATCAATGTTTTCATCATACATTTTACAGGGCTGTGCGCCCCACCAAACCACAAAGCAGACTTGTTACAGGAGGGGAGATACCACGTCGCGGGGATGGCTTGGCATCTGTGTGTCTTGCTCCGAAATAGCTGAGAGTCAAAGTAACAAAGGATAATGTAAGTGGGCGCGCAAGAGTGCCGAGGTAAAATATAAACTTTTAAGAGTTAGCTAAAGATATCACGCGCTCATCAGATTGGTCCCGTCGCCGTAACAACGTGTTAATAAAGACACGTGTTTTCTCGAGTGTTTTCTCCAGCGCCTGTGTGGTGTAGCGGGATTGTACAAGACTTTCCCGTGGACGTTCGGGGTTCAAGCCCCGGCTAATCCTCCGTTACTGAATAAAGTTGCATTTTTTTCCTGCAGTTTGGTTGGTGCAGATTGTGAAGTTTACTACCGTCTAGCAACTATTTTAAATGTGTTGGCCTAATTACTAAGTATGTTTTAGAAAACATGTAAACGTCAACAAAATCAAAAGTGTCATAGGCTGGACTTGAACCCGGGTCCTCTCACACCAGAGTCCATCTCCTTATCATTGAGCTATAGAGCCACAGAAAGTTGTCCCGTGAACAGAGAACAAAGACCGATGAGAAGCCAATTTTCCTAACCCTGCTCACAAGTGCCACCTGGTGGTTGTTTGGGTCATTGCAGCATCACTGGGGAAAAAATAAATAAAAGACGCGTGAAACACACGTGAGTCTCGTGTGATTCACGCGTGAAACGCGACAAAACGAAGTGGGACCTACTGTATTATAATAACTGGGTATTACAGCTTGGAGCTGAAGGACTCACTGCAGACTAAACCAGACTAAACCAGACTGAAAAAGACTAAACCAGACTAAACCAGACTGAAAAAGACTAAACCAGACTAAACCAGACTAAACCAGACTAAACCAGACTCAACCAGACTCAACCAGACTCAACCAGACTAAACTAGACTAAACCAGACTCAACCAGACTGAACCAGACTACACCAGACTAAACCAGTCTAAACCAGTCTAAACCAGACTAAACTAGACTAAATCAGACCAAACCAGACTAAAACAGACTAAACCAGTCTAAACCAGACTCAACCAGACTAAACCAGACTAAACTAGACTAAACCAGACTAAACCAGACTAAACCAGACTAAACCAGACTAAACCAGACTAAACCAGACTAAACCAGTCTAAACCAGTCTAAACCAGTCTAAACCAGACTAAACCAGACTAAAACAGACTAAAACAGACTAAACCAGACTAGAACAGACCAAGCCAGACTAAGCCAGACCAAACCAGACTAAGCCAGACTAAGCCAGACTAAACCAGACTAAACCAGACTAAACCAGTCTAAACCAGACTAGAACAGACTTAAGCCCGGGGATTAATAAACTTTATCTTTACTTGACCCAAAATCTTATGGGAAAAAATAATATAAATTAAAAGATGAATATAATAAAATACTAATAAATAAATAATAAATAATAATAAAAAAGTCTAAATGTGTCCTTTTTAAATAAATAAAACCTCAAGTCAGGGAGGGACTTACAGGGGACTATTGTACATGTGTTTAGTGGTAGAGGAAACCGGAGCACCTGGAGGAAACCTACAGACACTGGGAGAACATGCAAACTGCACATGTGTTCTCCCCACACTCACACACACTCCCTCCTCGTGGTCCTCGCCCGTCCTGGAGCCCCTTGTGTAGAGCGAGAGCCCTCATTGGTCGAACCCTGTCATTTCCTGCTGTTTAGTGCAGCTGCCAACATCTGGCTCCAACATCAGGGACACTTTTCTGTTGTTGTCCACAGCAGCTGTGGTCATGAACCTGAGCCGCTCTGTGGACTTCAGGACATTATTTAGAAGTGGTCGTTGGTTCGAATCCTGTCCCTGTGCTCTTGGACTCTTGTCGTTTCTCTGGTGTGTGACAATGGGTTTAATATCTTAAAGGAGACGTACTGTGCTTTGCTCTGATGTTTAATCTATGACACGTGTGGATCATTCTTATATATTTGGAACATGTTCAGTCTCAGAATATCAAAGCAACGAGCAGTGGAGTCTTTGCATGTGTGCCAAAATGCCTGCTGATCATCCACATGTCAGATTACAGGGAATACAGACGACTGGGTCTTTGTGTGTGTGATATGTGACATCATTATGAATCCTTTGTATTGTTATTGTTCATGTGTTTCCCACTGCTCAGCTGTTGTTCTTGTTTGGCATTATTCCTCAGCTTGTATCGTAGTCTATAAGATCACGATGCTCATTACATCATGTTTTCTTTATTCAGGTTGGTGAGCTGTGGTTTGTCAGAGATCAGCTGTTCCTCTGTGGTCTCAGCTCTGGAGTCCAACCCCTCACATCTCACACTCCTGGACCTGAGTGTGAACAATCTGTCTGATTCAGCAGTGTCTGATCTGTGTGGTTTTCTACAGAGTCCAGACTGTCGACTGGAGACACTCTGGTCAGTTCACTGCACAGAAACACTACACACTAAAGTGTTTCATATGAAACTGCAAACACACTTTAAATTATTATAAATGATTCACACAAACATCTGTTACTGTCAATGTCTTTAACTCATGTTTATATTATGTTCAAATAGTTTCTCACATTTATGTACCACTTACATGGAACTTCAAAGATACAAATGGAGCTTAAGCGGAGGTTCAGTATGGTAGACTACCTACGTTATCACACAAGGCTTGACCACGCCTTACTCAGCCTGTCTTAATCAACTCCCCGCAGCCGTGTCAATCAAGCCAGCGTTTAAGAGCAAAGCAGAGCACAGCTCACCAAACGGACTTCAAGCTGCAATGGGTTGCTCTTCGTCACCTTGTTACTCACGCCTCGCACATTGTTCGTCCTGCATGGTCGCGGCTCCTCTTCCACATCACATGTTTGGGGCTGCGCGCCATGGTCGCTGTGTCTCCACCGCGGCTCACCGCGGGTCCTCTCCTGCGGACTCGCTGCCGCTCGTCTCCCCGTGGCGCTGCTACTCGCGGCCAGGCGTTACTCCGTGCACCCTGCAGCTTCCATACCGGGCACGGGACTTCTGTCTGCCTGCCGTTGTCTGCCTGCCGCTGTCCACCCGTCTCCCTGCCTCCACTCACGGTACAGTGTCGGTTTCGTGTTTTCCGCACTACCATGAACTGTACTGAACTGCGGCGTGTCAGTTAATCCCGCCGAATTGTCTCGCAGGCTGTGTTTCTAACCGCTGCATTGCTCTTCAGGCTGTTCGTTTTACCACCTGCATTGGCATTTAGACTGTCCGTTTTCACCATGGACCGTACATTTTAACCACTGTGTTGGCCTTCTGGCTGTCCGTTTTACTCATGGGCTGAACATTTTACCCACTGCAGTGACCTCCAGGCTGTCAGTTTTACTATGGACTGAACATTTTACCCACTGCATTGACCTTCAGGCTGTCAGGTGTAACCATGGACTATAACATTTGTCGTCTGCTTGGCCTTTGCGCTGTCTATTTGACCGTGGACTGTAAGTTTTGCCCACTGCATTGCCTCCCGGCTGTCCGTGTCTGATGAGCTGCTCTGATTGGTCGGAGCGCGGCCGAGCCCCTCTGTACTGTTCGTTTTAACCAGTGCGTTGGCCTTCAGGCATGCTTCAACGGCCTCACTTCAACGCTTCATCGCAGCACACGTCGGCGGCCGCACACTTCAACGCCCACACGCTTCGCCGACGCCACTTCGGTGGCCGCACGCTTCGACGACGCCACTTCGGTGGCCGCACGCTTCGACGACGCCACTTCGGTGGCCGCACGCTTTGACGACTCCACGCTTCGACTCCTCCTCCACGCTTCGACTCCTCCTCCACGCTTCGACTCCTCCTCCACGCTTCGACTCCTCCTCCACGCTTCGACTCCTCCTCCACGCTTCGACTCCTCCTCCACGCTTCGACTCCGGCGCACTCATCGACTCCGGCGCACGCATCGACTCCGGCGCACGCATCGACTCCGGCGCACGCATCGACTCCGGCGCACGCATCGACTCCGGCGCACGCATCGGCGAAGGCGCACGCATCGGCGAAGGCGCACGCATCGGCGAAGGCGCACGCATCGGCGAAGGCGCACGCATCGGCGAAGGCGCACGCATCGGCGAAGGCGCACGCATCGGCGAAGGCGCACGCATCGGCGAAGGCGCACGCATCGGCGAAGGCGCACGCATCGGCGAAGGCGCACGCATCGACGAAGGCGCACGCATCGGCGAAGGCGCACGCATCGACGAAGGCGCACGCATCGCCGAAGGCGCACGCATCGCCGAAGGCGCACGCATCGACGAAGGCGCACGCATCGACGAAGGCGCTCGCTTGGGCGGCGCACGCCTTGACGCGGCACGCCTTGGCGCCTCAACAACGCCGCACGCTACGCCGCAGCACGCTTTGACGCAGCCCGCTTCCACGATGGCGCACGCTTTGACGCAGCACGCTTTGACGCAGCACGCATCAACGACGCAGCTCGCTTTGACGCCGCACGCCTTGACGCCGGCGCACGCCTTGGCGCAGCCGCATGCATCAACGACGCCGCTCGTTTGGACGCCGCTCGTTTGGACGCCGCTCGTTTGGACGCCGCTCGCTTGGACGCCGCTCGCTTGGACGCCGCTCGCTTGGACGCCGCTCGCTTTGACGCAGCACGCTTCATTGCAGCACACGTCGGTGGCCGCACGCTTCATCGCCGTACGTCGGTCGGCGCACACGCTTCCACGTCGGTGTCCGCCTCCTGCCGCATTCTCGACCTCATGCTTCGACGCATTCGTGTGCTCTCATCCATTCATCGTGGAACCAGTGTCGACCATGGACTCTCGTTCCCCTTGGTGGGTGAACAATCCAACGCTAGGAGAGTTCTGCTTCACAATGACGGGAAGAGCCGGCTTCGAAGGATCAGGTCAGTGGTCTGACTGAAGACGCGGTCTGACTGAAGACGCGGTCTGACTGAAGACGCGGTCTGACTGAAGACGCGGTCTGACTGAAGACGCGGTCTGACTGAAGACGCGGTCTGACTGAAGACGCGGTCTGACTGAAGACGCGGTCTGACACTGCCCGTTGGTCCTTTTCACTCGAGTGATAGTGGTTCGAGGTTTCTCTTTTCAGCTTCGCAGGAACGCAACGCCGCACCAAAGCTCTGCTACAACGCCGCGATGGTGACCTGCTGCAACGCTGGCCTGCTAAGACTGCATGTGTACTGTCGGCGTGGCCTTCAAACCTGGCCGGCTATCTTCCCCAGGCCGCACTCATTGGCTTTTGGTGTGCAGCACTGCCCGCCACGGTTTGCGTGCACTCTGAGTGGCTGTAGGCGGTGCTCCTTCTCATGTTCCCCAGGCATATTCTCTCCTGGTCTCCTGGTGCGGCTCCTGCCGCCGGGCCTGTCTCACGCTTCGCCTTACCTGACGCACCCTGGCCCTCATTCTGACCGGGCCCTTGTGCGTTGGTTTTTGGGGGTCCAGAGATCTCCTATCGAACATCAATCTTCCTGGGTAAGTGTACTTCATGAATCTCATTTTCACCTTCTAGTCTCCCCAAGTGGAATCATGTTCGAATATCAGCGCTCTATACACCAGCAGTTCATCCTTCATTCAGCTTTCTCCTTTCCCTCTCACTGCACACTCTCAGTCTCTGGACATCAGCATCGCGGGTACTGCCGTCACTGCCTCATCGGCATTAAATACATTCTCTAAAATCCACTTCGAGTCACACTGCTCCACCCTCATAAGAAGATCCTTAAAGGAGTATTGGCAATGGACCTTGTTCTGTAGTTTAGGTCCTGGACGACTAGCCTGTCTGTCCGTGGAGTGGATTCCCTCTCTCTATGTAGGGTCTTCCGAAGGTTTCTCACTTTTTTCCCCACGGGGTTTTGTGAGTTTTCCTCGCCATTCAGGAGGGTCTGGACAGTTAGTGTCCAACTAGAAGGCCGTGGTGATGATCCAGGATACTTTAACATTCTACAACATCTATGGACATTTTATCAACATTCATAGACTATAATTACTCCTTAAACAATCCCTCGACGACCCCCTGGTCTGAACAAATTCAAAACCTCTGCTCCCTGCATGTAACCTCTCTTCCTTTCTCTACACCCGCCACTCCTTCCGGATAGGAGCAGCCACTTGGACTGCTGCCCTGGGACTCCCTCAATCATCTCTCCAGGAGCTCGGTCCCCGGTTCTCTACCACATTCATCCGTTCTGGCAGCCCAGCGCCTCCTCTCATATAAGTACGTATGCATCTCCTGGTGTGGTGGCAACTCCTCATTTCCAGCATGCCGCGCACTCGAGCCAAGCTCGTGCGCGTGCCAACGCCTAGCGCTAGAGCCGAGCTCGCGCACGGACATTACGCCGCGCACTTAGGCCGAGCTCGTGCGCGTGCTAGCGCTAGAGCCGAGCTCGCGCACTGACATTACGCCGAGCGCGTGCCAACGCCTAGCGCTAGAGCCGAGCTTGCGCACGGACATTACGCCGCGCACTTGAGCCGAGCTCGTGCGCGTGCCAACGCCTAGCGCTAGAGCCGAGCTCGCGCACGGACATTACGCCGCGCACTTGAGCCGAGCTCGTGCGCGTGCCAACGCCTAGCGCTAGAGCCGAGCTCGCGCCCGGGCATTACGCCGCGCACTTGAGCCGAGCTTGTGCGCGTGCCAACGCCTAGCGCCAGAGCCGAGCTCGCGCACGGAAACAGTCACTCACACCATGCGCCTTCCATAAACGCAGCAACCAAGTCATGGCAAACGCATCGCTAGCCAAGCTCTCTTTTTGGGGATCATGATCTGCACCCAGGCGCAGATCTCTCCAGAGCACGGCCACAGCCGGGGCCTAAGCTCCAAACCAATAAACAAACTCAATCCATAAAATAAACAACTCTTAAACGCATCTCGTCTCTTGTAGTCTCTCCAGGTTGAAATGGAGCTTAAGCGGAGGTTCAGTATGGTAGACTACCTACGTTATCACACAAGGCTTGACCACGCCTTACTCAGCCTGTCTTAATCAACTCCCCGCAGCCGTGTCAATCAAGCCAGCGTTTAAGAGCAAAGCAGAGCACAGCTCACCAAACGGACTTCAAGCTGCAACCACCTCCTCCCCACCTCCGCCTCAGGATTCTTCACTCTCACATTCACCTTGCCTTGTTGCCACCACCAGTGTCTAGGCCCCGGGGGATCATGATCTGCACCCAGGCGCAGATCTCTCCAGAGCACGGCCACAGCCGGGGCCTAAGCTCCAAACCAATAAACAAACTCAATCCATAAAATAAACAACTCTTAAACGCATCTCGTCTCTTGTAGTCTCTCCAGGTTGAACTGTGTTTAAGGCTGAGAAAAGTCTCATGTTTTTGGTCGGGCCGGGACTTTAACGAGTTCATTAAGATTAATTAATTACACAAAAAATGTGCGTGTTAAAAAAATGGACGTATTTTAATCATATTTATTTTTGCACCGCGGAACATTTCTCACTGGATGAGTTTCAGACGGACCGATTATACTGACGCACCAACTGACAACAAACCACAGGCTGTATCCGAATGTCCACACTATACCCTATATAGTGCACTATATAGTGGTCACGCCATTTTGTAGGGGTGTCCGAATGTCCAGAGAGAAAAAGTAGTGCACTGGAATTTTCCCACAATGCATCTCGAAAATGTAGTGAACAGCAGTGGTCACTATACGGAAGTAAAATGGCGGAGGCACAGAGAGACGTGTTGGAAGCGGAGCGGGACATGAGCTACAAATGTGAGTTTTTAATCATCATAAATATGTAAATGTGTAAACCGTGATATATTGTTGACGATAAGCTGCCAAAATACACATTTGAAGTCAGAATACCATTGCCTTTTACTGCGAAACAACGTACCAATGTTATGCCGCGAAAATGTTAGCATTTTTGCATATCATAACATTAACATCTAAAGCTAACGCTACAGAAACGGGTCACTGGTGGTCAGTCATTAATGTTATTAAAGCACTTGTGTTATATGTATAGCATTTATTGTGTGTTTAATGTTTTTTAAAGGGACAGACACTGATGTGGAGAGACTCATCTGACTGCGGGTGAAAGGAATACATGCAGATACAGGAATAAATAAAAAAAACTTCATTTTGAGATTAATGTAAATAAAAATGAAGAGTATATAGCAGAAGTCATGTTCTTTTGAGCCCAGGCATTGATTTTGCCAAATGCATTCTGTGTTGCAGGGAGCTGGAGCTGCCATCTGTGTCAGAGACAGCTGAAGGAGAAAGCCTACATCGCTCACACCTATCTGCCCCTCCGCTGCTGCTGCTGCAATACAAACAAATGTATGGCCATGGCCAAGCAGATTCATACAAAACCATCGACATGTCCCAGTTGTTCTAAATGCTATTACTGTTTAATGATTAAATACTCTTGATTTCATTTAGAAAAAAATTGACTTATTCCATTTCCCTTGCTATGTTTTTCTGTTCTTTCAACCAATAAAGTGTTTAAATGTTCTTGAATTTTAAGTGAGTGTGTATATACAATGTGTTTTCTTGTTTAAATATGTTTAAATGTATATGTCTAATGTGTTTCCTATTGATTGAGAATAGTATTTTTTATTAGAAAGTCCATCCATCCATTTTCTACCCTTTAATCCATTTCTGGGTCAGGGGGGTGGCAGTCAGAGATGCCACCCAAGTCTCATAGCACCAGCCCCTCACTGACCCTCTGCAGGTGGTGAGTCCACAGGAGGACGGCTGCTCTCTGAGTGTGAGCATAGCCTTGATCTTTCAGTGGGGGCTTTGGGCAAAGTGGGGTTAAGTGTCTTGCCCAAGGACACAACGACAGCAGTCATCAGTGGGAGTCGGTGGAGAAGGTGTAGAGGTGGGAATTGAACCCACGACCTTCAGGCCTGAAGGGCAATGCTCTACCAACTGAGCTACTGTCGCCCCCTGAGAAAGTACACCTAAAGTACTTTAATTTACCCGGTAGATGGTGCTAATGCTATAGATAAAGGTACAATACTTACTCGAGTTGAGCCTTGCTAATGAAAGAAGAGCCATTCTCCTCCTCCTCATCGCCTGTCTTCGTCATCTTTCTGTTCGGCAGGTTTTAATTCTCATTGAGAAGTTCAATAATTGTAAGGATAAACTTAAAAATTCAGTGGAGGTGCCATCTCACCGGTGTTAGAAGAGCCGGTCAGGTGGTGGGAATATGAGGGACGTTAACCAAATCAGTCAACAAAAATTCATACAGTATATAAATATATTGTAAAAACATTTTATACATGTATATTAGACAAAGATTGATATTTTAATATACTTATATTTATATATAAATATATTTAAAAGTATATTGATCCAATGACATGTGACAGGGGTGTGACGCGGGCCGCGGCTAAAAATAGTGTGCAGCTGTCCGAATCGCCAACAGAATGAGTGCACTGACTCACTCACTCAGTCGCTATATAGTCCCGAACTATATAGTGAGTGAGTGAATAGGGTATAGTGTGGACATTCGGATACAGCCACAGTGAACATGAACCATGGATCTATTATAATAACTGGGTATTACAGCTTGGAGCTGAAGGACCATGTGCTCACTGCAGACTAAACCAGACTAAACCAGACTAAACCAGACTAAACCAGACTAAACCAGACTAAACCAGACTAAACCCGACTAAACCCGACTAAACCCGACTAAACCCGACTAAACCCGACTAAACCCGACTAAACCAGACTAAACCAGACTAAACCAGACTAAACCAGACTAAACCAGACTAAACCAGA